TAAACAAAGGCTCAGCAAATGAATCGATAATCAATGGGATCTAGTCCTCACAATCACCAGGCACCCTGGAGGTGGTGTCCCCCAGTTAAGCCAGCCCTCATAGTATGAAGGGAGCAACATGCCCTCATGTAGCTGTGGCTTAGCCATACACGCTCTCCTCAGCTTCCCTATGCTTTGCCCACCCAGGAAGCCACTCCCACATCCTTGCCCATGACCATTCCTAAACAGTGTGTAGTGCTGCCCACCCTGGGAGCCTTGGGGTTGGCTAACAGCCACCCAGCTTCCATGGGCCCACTGAAGGAAGGCTGCAAAATGAGAAACCCCTCCCCAGCAGCTGCTCTCAGAGCTGTCCAGGGTACTGACCAAGTCCATCAGCGCCAGCCCCCCCCCACCTCCAGCCAGCAAGGTCTTGCTTAGCACCCCCTAGAGGACATCATGAATAGTGCAGTGATTTCCACTAGCCTGCTCCACAGACACAGAACTTGCTCAGGCAGGGGAATAGCTCTGACTCATCAGCTTGGTCTTTTCCACAACTTGTCCCAGCTGCTGCCAGAGGAGCGTCCTTGCAATTCAATCAGCTGTCTCCAGAGGCTCTGCATGGAACGTGCTGCCTCCTGTGGCATGTGCCTGGGGTGTACCTAGACCTGTCTCCCGTTTCTCAGCCCTTACCACTCCAGCCTGGCTTTCCTTTGGGGCATGTCACACAGGCGGGGACAAAACGCCGTGTCACTGTGCCATGATTGACACACAGGGAGCTGTGCACACATCCAGGTACATCCTGCGACTGCGACATATGTTCAGCCGCAGGGCCCCCAGGAACGCTGGGTTCTGAGGAACAGAAGACAAAGCCCATGGCAGGAGCAGAGGGAGCGGCGGGCAGAGAAGCAGACAGGGGCAGGAGCTGGGAAAGAGGCACCCATAGGTCCTGCAGCAGCAGAGAATGCTGGGGACAGAAATGATCTACTGGTCCCATGAGATGAGCAGGGCCTCCAGTGACAGAAACCTGGCCGTCAGTGAGCGTCTCAGGGACAGGAAGGACACAGCACCCAGGTTCCCGCCCCCACATCTGGATTGCCTGAGCTGGCCTCTTGCTGAACTACATGCTCTGCCCTCCGTGTCCACAGCTCACACCACTTCCAACTGGGAGCATCTGGGAGAAGGCTACAGGATAAGGGGTGGGCAAAGCAGGCCCCCTCAGGTGCCCCCCTCCCTGCTCTGGACGAGTAGGACTCTCTGTCTTCCCCCACCGTCTCTTGTACTCTCCTGCCTGCCATGGACTCCCCCATCTCTGGGGCTGGAGTAGATTCCTCCTGACCCCACCAGAAGCCCCAAAGCCTTCGAGAACCAGACAGGCCCCCTGGGAGCTAGGGGAGCTAAGTTCCAAACTTGGCTCAATTTTCCCATCTGCAAACAGAAAAGTTATTTTTGAGAGTCCTTCCATGGCAATCCTGTTTAAGAAACCAGCTTACATAAGAAACTGAGGGACCAGGCATGGTGGTGCACGCCTTTAATCCTAGCACTCAGGAAGCAGAGGCAGGCCGATCTCTGAGTTCGAGGCCAGCCTGGTCTACAGAGCAGGTTCCAGGACAGTCAGAGTTACACAGAGAAATCCTGTCTCAAAAAAACACAAAACAAAACAACAGAAACAATAACAAAAAACAAAAACAAAAACAGTCAGTGAGACCCAGGGAGACTCACTGGTTCCCCAGAGCCGGGTTCATCTGGGACAGTCTACATTTCCTCCTACAGAGCAAGATCCTGGGCTGTGCTGTTGTCTGGAAACAGATCACATCTCAGCCTCTAGGCAAGCTGCATATACTGGCTCTGGGGTGCCTGCTGCCGAGATGGAACTATGGAATTGCTGCTTAAAACGGGTGGCACTGTCTGTGCCACTCAGAGACTCAACGCTCCCTGCCTTCCTGCCACGGTGGCGCATGAGGAAAGGCTGGAAGATGACCCCAGGTATTTGGGCAGAGTGTGGGGTCCTCTCACAGGGAACCTGGTTTTCAAGGGGCTACACTGGCCATGAAAGCTTGCAGAGAGATATAGCACACCTCTATGGGCCTCTCAAGCTGATGGGGACTGGAGTGAGACTGTGCAGGTTATGTAGACACACACACACACACACACACACACACACACACACCACACACACCACACACACACACACACACCACACACGCACACATACACACACACCACACACACACACACACACACAC